TGGAATAATCATATTGTTTTTGTTCTTGATGATTCATATATTTTGCATTTGCATCTATGCAGCTCTATTTATTGTTGTTTTATTTCCAGAAAGTGGTTTAGAATAGGTGTACTTTACAAAGTAAATGCCTTTGTATGAAAAATAAAGATTGTTTGTAGTGTTGAAATGAACATATAAGTATATTTAATATTTGGATATACAAACTGAAATTTTGGCTATTTTAAATTATTTTCGTAATGTTTTATGCATTCTATCTATTGACAATGCTAATTGTTGTCATTTTATCATTTATGTCCACAAGTGAATCATATCAAAATTCTATAAAAGGTGTTTGTTTTTCTTCAGATTTTCTAGTTTTTTTCTGTTTACATGATAATCATCCATCAATCTTTTGTCCTTGGGTATTTTTGGGAAGTTTTAATACCTTAGCTTTTACAACATAAAATCTTGGCTTAATAAAAGTATAGCTTAAACGAGTTTATAGACTGCAGTATACATTCTTATAAGATGTGCTTCATCCAAACTAAAAATAGTGCTGTGCTTGTTCTGTTGTGCATGTTTCCATTGTATGTAACATGATAATGTTCTATGCTGCGCCTTGTTCATGTGATTTCATTGATTGAGTAGGTACTAGAGGTGATTAAATTGTCAACTGTTAGTAAACAGCTTAGTTTATCACTGTTATCATATAGATTTTGTTACCTTAGGCTGTATGTGATTTTCTTGTTTGGCTTTGTTCATTTGTAGACTTTGACGATTGGTTTCCAAATGCGCATGTCTTGAACTCTTGTGGTTTATGTTGCTCTCTTGATTGCATTATGCATTATTTAATATCTTCAGAGTACTTGTGCAATAGCATTTTGTATTTTAATTAAGTTGGCAGGGTATCATGTTGTTCTCGTGTTAGAAATTTATTTACACCTGTTATAATTTGTGTTATGGCCTTTTGTATGATCCCCAAAAGTTGAGAAATCTTGAGAGAATGGTGTTTTCTGCATTTATAAATTGGGTTGAACGTTTTGGTGTTTGTTATTGTGCATATGTAACATTCTTGTGTGGTCGCTGGCATATGGATGTGCCAAGTCTTGGTCAAGAACATCAGTTTTGTCCTGAGTTTTTGGTTTGTTTCTTTGTGGCTATGCAAGCTCATGTAGTGTTTGAATATCACAAGGTGTGTTTTGAAAATGTGGATAAATATGTATATATATTTTCCTTATGTGTGGCTTACGAAGCCATTATTGGTTTGGATGTTGTTGTTTAATGTTCAGATAATTGATACATTAAGATGTGATAGTATTTGTTTAAGTCTTTTAGTTAGCATGGGTTCATATTATGTCTATTTTTTCCATAAATATTAATTTTAAAGCTGCTAAATTGCATTACTTTGTTGCATAACTCTTATTACTATTGCGAGTTCTGTAGCCTGACTCTGATATGACTGATAATTCGTATCCATGATGTCTGTCTTTGTATTATTGTTTGATGGTAATTGTGTGATTCAGGTATATGGCAACTTTGGAGGAAATGCTTTGAATGGTAGTGCTGAATTCAGGTTGTTATCTGTTTTGATGAATGGCTTGCAAACTTTTGTGGCTACTTCTCTGCTTCTCTGCTCTGGAATGTAGCTGTTGAGATATAGTTGCTCTACCCTAGGTTTTTATTGCTTTAGAAGCTCCATGAACTTTAGAGTGGTATAATTGTCTCTGTATGTAATACTTTCCTGGATGGGACTTGTCTCTTATCTTTGCTTGAATTGTTAAATTACTATCCTACTGAACACACTTGCCTTTTTGGCTTGCTTTTTTATTGTGGCTATGCAACCTCATTGTCGCATGACTTGCATTCATCATTTGATTGGCTGTGTTAAAATTCCTTGATTCCCTGTGTTTGATTCAATGTGTAATGCATTTCTTTTGATTAATTCTTGTTCTTGTACTCATAGTGGGTTCTCTTCACTGTTTGAATGTATCGTCCTGCTCAGGCATTGACTTCTGATTCTGAATTGGTGGATTGTGCCTCAAGTTTGAAGTGTCATTCACACAGTGTGTGGTTGCAAAATAGCTGTCTAAAGCGTCATTTCTCATGATCATGCCTATGTAAGCTGCCATGCTAATTCTTCTTAGTGATAGAAGATTTTGTGGAATCATCTTCTGTTTGCTAGATGTGTGGTCATCCTTCTGTCAGTTCCCTTCCTGTTAGTGATGTTAGAACTCTAATTGTTGACCTGTTAAAATATAGCCTTTTGATAAGAAACACATGAGCCATGCAATCTGCATCTGCCAAGAGTTGATTTAATTTTATATAAACGATAACTTTTTAGCCATCTCCATCTCTGTGCGCTTCTATTTAAATTCTGTCTCAGGTTGTTGATGAGTTTGATTTGTGGCTCAATAAATATTTACTAAAAGCAAAGTATCTCATGTTGTCCCAACAAGTTGATTGGAACATATATGATTCTTTAATATCTTGTGCCTTTCTTTTATATTAATCTTGGTTTTGGAATTAATGACAATATATGTGCTTGGAAAATTTGGAAACTAGGTTGCGAGTGCAATGTTTTTTTTTCAGTGTTCAAACAAAGCTAGCTGTGCCTGATGGGGTCTGTACTTTGTTTTGCTGGAACTTACCTTCAAGAGATAGATAAGTTGTATTTAGGTTGTTTTCTCAGATCTCGCTTCTGCTAGAAGTGAAGCCTTAATGTTTTATGAACGGTTCTGAATTGTTCATCAAAAAAATCAACAGTCATGATATAAAATCATGAATATAGTGTGAGAGAAGAAGCGAGATGTTGATCTTTTTTTGTCTAGATAGAATTACGGACTGTTTTTGTCGTCTGATTTTATAAGTCTTTGCTGAAACTAATAATGTTGTAGATGAATACAATTGTTAGTATAATAATGTGATTGATGTTCTCTTTGGAAAACCGAAGCTGTCGAAGTTTACTGTGGCATCTTTCTTTCTTAAAGTGCTGATTAATTGTGATACTTTTTAGTCTTTTTTTATAAGCTAAATTCTTATCCTGCTTGCTTTTCCTAAGCGCCGTAGTTCACATTCATTTGGGTCCCCCCCTTTGGGCAAGCTTAGTTTGTTGGATGACGTTTGCATATGCCTCCTGATTTCGTTGCTAGCCCCATCGATAAAATATGTACCAAATGGGTGAAGTGTGGCCACCTCCTCTGCCAACACCTCCTATGTTGCCAATGTTGGGGTGTCGAAGGTGGCAGAGGGAGGGATTCGTGTGTGGAGTGCATGTGGCACTTTCCATTGTCTTATCAATCTCCAACGTGTATGACGTATTGATGAGATTGAGAATCGCATTATGCATCTTTTCATCGAGTCCTATTCTCCTTTTTATCTCGCACGTCGTCGACCTTGTGCGCCACTGTCATTATCGGTGATCTATCCTCCATAGGGGAGGAAAACATATTTTTTTATAAAAGTATATTTTTATCTTTTTTTATTCATGATAAAAGCAACAATAAATGTTTCCTATATTTGAATCATAATATTACTTTTAAAAGTATGGAGATTGAGATGTTAATCTAAAGTAATATCAAGGGTACTATGTAATTACAAGTTCAGAGAAAAATATTTTTATTCTCGTTCCAACCATTAAAATTTTCCTCTAACGTATCATAGTGCTAATTACATATAATTAGTCCTGTTTAGTATTTTGATTCTAACATTTTCTTTATACTTAGTGCTACTTACAAAATAAATCATTTAAATCCTTATATATGATTAAAACGATAATTTTATTATATTAAAATTTTAAAAATAATGTATTAAATCTTTTTATTTTCATAAATATAAAGATCATAAACAAACTTTTTAAAATATAATGAGATATTAAAGATATCTAATTATAAACGGTTATATATAATTAGCTTTATATCAAACAAAACATCATATTTCAATTTATGTTGTCCTTTCACAGCGTTAGATGAAATATTTTATTATTTAGCAAAATGTAACCAAAAAAATGATAAGAGAATATAATAAAGTTTTTTTGGATTCATGAAATTGGGTAAATTTAAAAACAAAGAATCTGTATATGGTAATACCTTGTTTGTAAAGAAATAAAACCATGAAATTAATATTTGATTATTTTACAAATACCTTAAAGGTTTTGATGAAGGTTGATGTAGAGAAAAAATATATATTTTTATATATGATTGTTCTCCAAGTTTCATTTGATCTATGAATTTTTGAATAATGGTATCTTCTCGGAGATAATGAATATGACAAGGTAAACGATTACATGCATTTTATTTTACATCGATAGTTGGGAAAACATGAGTTAGCAAAAATATCTGATAAACATGTGAATTTAAAATAAATTAAGAATTATTGTTCATGTTGTTGAATTGAATTGAAGAAAAATAAAAAAAAGATTAATTACGTATTATTCTTTATAATTAGTTATATTTAATATTTTGATCTTTATATTTTTAAGTATTATATTTATATTTTTATATTTATAAAAATAAAATATTTAAACTTATTTCTTCTCGTGTCATTGACAACAGAAATATTATGTGTTTCGTTGTAAATCTAAATAAGACAAAGTCAACACGTGCTCATATTATCTGTTTCATTGTAAATCTAAATGAGATAAAGTCAACACGATCAGTACTAAATCCTATGATATTTTAGTACTAAACCCTACGATATTAGATTGATAAAGTTAATGTTACGAGGAAAAAAGAGATTAAATATTTAATTTTTATAAGTATAAAATTTTAATATAATTTTTAAAAATATAAAAATATATTAAAGATAGTTAATTATAAGGGATAATATATAATTAGTTTAAAAAATTTATGAAAATATGTAAACAATCAAAATTTATTTTTTTATTCATTTAATGAACGAGAGAGTTTTATTTTTATTATTGGGCTCCCTTCGTTGAAGTCCCAATACGGCCCGCATCACGCGGCCTCTCCACGCTTAGTATAAATAGGCGGATGCTCGATCCACAGCCATATCCGTCGCTCCCGCTTCCTTCACTTTTTGTCGGGTTAGGGCGCCGTCCGACCCCGCCGCGAGATCGATTGATTGATGGATCCGTCCTACAAGAAGCGGAAGGCGGACGAGAACGGCGCCCTCGCCACCGCCATCCCGGCGGCCGAATTGACGCCGGAGGATGGCCGTAAAATCATTGACGCCTTCTCCCTCGACCAGCTCCGCGACATCGTCGCCGCCGCCGTGTCCCGCGGCGAGCCTGGCGTCCTCGCCGACGTCCGCGCTATCGCCGACCGCGACCAGAGCCAGCGCAAGCTCTTCATCCGCGGCCTCGGCATGGAGACCACCACTGACGCCGTTCGCTCCCTCTTCTCTACGTACGGCGAGATTGAGGAGGCCGCTGTTATTGTTGACAGGGCCACCGGGAAGAGCAAGGGTTACGGTTTCATCACCTTCCGCCATATCGACGGTGCCCTCCGTGCCCTAAAAGAGCCATCCAAGAAGATCGATGGCCGGATGACGGTCACCCAGCTTGCTGCCGCCGGTAACTCCGGGTCCGGCGCTGCTCCGTCTGCCGATGTCTCTCTCCGCAAGATCTATGTGGCGAACGTCCCCGCTGACATGCCATCTGACCGACTCCTTGCCCATTTCTCCTCTTACGGTGAGATCGAGGAGGGCCCTCTTGGGTTCGACAAGCAGACGGGGAAATTCCGGGGCTTCGCCCTGTTCGTCTACAAGACAGTGGAGGGGGCAAAAAATTCCCTCGTGGATCCCAACAAGAACATCGATGGGCATAACTTGGTCTGCAAGCTTGCAATAGAGGGTAAGAAGGGGAAGCCAGGTGCCCCTGCACCAGGTGCTGCCCCCATGGGCGGTGTCCCCGGCCAGCCCATGGGTGGTGGTGCCGATATGGGTTCAGATGGGCTTGGATTGGGTGCACAGTCCTCGTTACCAAGTTCTCTCTCGAGCCAATATGGTGGTCCAGGTAGCGGTTTCGGCTCATATGGTGGTTACTCTGGAAGTGCGCTGCCGGGTGCTGCTGGACTGAGTCACCATCATAATATGAACTCTTCCTTGCCATCATCCATGGGTCCTGGCACTCCAGGTCTGTCATCGGTTGGCAGTCAGGTGCCTTCATCGCTTGGTGGTGCTGTAGCTGGAGGATATGGAGGGGGTTTGGGTGGCCCTGTCTCCGGTGGATATGGAGGTTATGGTATGGGCTCATCACTTTATCGTATGCCTCCAAGCTCAGTTAGGATGCCTTCAGGTGGTTATACGGAGGGTGGACATTATCCTCTGTCATCATCAGCATACCAGGGCCAGCATCACCAGCCAGCAGGATCCTCTCCTGGGCAGAGGGTTCCAGGTAGAGGGTTATATCGTAATGTGCCACCTTATTACTAAGGTAATATATTTGCTTCAAAAATGGTCTTTGTGTTTTCCTGTTTTAGATTTCTGTTTATGTTTTATCAGCTTTTGTTATTTTTCTTGGCATCATTTCCTTTGATATTTACCATTGCTGTAATTACCGTTAGGTCATGGTTTCTTTGTGTGGTCTCTATAGCCTATAGTGTCGAATATGTTGTATTTAGATATTTTGGTCAATATTATTATGCTAACAGGTCATTATGGTCCACTATGGTCAATATTAGAGCCTCTTTAATGGCCCTTTATTATAAGATTAACAATCTCAATAATAAATAATAGCCGGTGGGCGTCGATCAGACATCGTGAACAATTAAACCCTTATTCCAGTTTCACAGCTGGGCGTAGCGTGGCCACTTCCTCCGCTTCGCTTTCTTGTCCGTTCTCTCTTTCCCACCCTTCGCCTTTATCTTTCCTCCTAGGGTTTCTATCCACCCCTCCGGTCCCTGATCGGCTTTGGCAACCTCTCCCGGTGGCGATCCATTCCGCGTAAGTGATATCTGAAAAATCGCCCCTTCGCCCTCTCAATTTTTGCAGATTGGGAGAAATCTGCTGCCACTGCTTTCAGGACTCTTCCTGGTCCATTACTTCTCTTCACCCTGCTTTATCTAAAGATGGTTTCTAAGAGAATCGACAGATTTCTTACAGAAGGTTGCTATATTGTCTAATGCGATTTTACAGGATTTGGAGTGAACTTTTTTTTTTTTAAGTTTGAGTCGTAATTCTAGTTATGGTTCTCACTTCACTTGTATCTGGTTTTTTGGGTTCTAAGTTGATTCTTTGTGTGGATTTGGCGTTGAAAAGATCTGCGGATAATTTCTTCGCTTATAGTGCTCCAAATTTGATCTTTCTCTGGTCTGCCATCGGGAGCATATAGGGAATGATTTTTTTTTCTCATTTGTTTATTCAGATCTGCTGAAGATATTGTTCGTCATTCGTAGATGTTCGCTTTATTGCTGCAGTTGATTTTAGCTGATGCCAAATAAATTATTGTGCTGCCTCAGAGCTTAATTGTGGATAGCTACGATTAGTGTGACAAGGATAATCTTGAATTATGCTTTTCTGAGTGGAATCTGACTTGTGGAACTCTGGTTTTGTCTTTAATGTAGTTCATCGTGGACATGAATGATCAGTTTGTGGGTTGACGACCTTAATTAGGTTTATCTGAATGAGATCTGACTTTTAAAAGTCCAAGTTTATTTTTCAACATTATCTATGATGGATATGAATGATTCGCATGAAGGAATGGTAGTAAGTTATGCTAATTCAGTTGGAATCTGATTTCCAGGACTCTAATGCTCTTTTCAAGCATGATCTATTATGTCTATGAAGGTGTTGTTGAATTGTGCCTTTCTGAAAGGAATCTGATTTGTTTTTTAATCATTTTTTTTACTTTGGAACTTTATTTTTTATGAATTTAATGATTAATGTGCGAGGGATAATACACGATACACAGCCTTATGTTTGGGGGTCCTATTCTTCGTACAGAGAAATACACGATACACAGCCTTATGTTTTATGGACTAGACATTTGACGTAAATGCGTGCTGTTGAAGTACTTCTTTTCTGCACTAACTTAAGTAAAGTGGTTATTGGTGTAGACAATGTGTAGGTTTGCAATTGTTAATGAATTTAGGTATAAGGCTTTGTTGGAGGCATTACTTTGTTGATTCTTGTTTGTTGAGTAGCATCTACTAGTTTATTTGATAGACTATAATCTGAATCTTGTGTAAAGATACATGATTTATGTACAACTTAAGAGTTCACCTCTTCTCCCCTTTTTTTTCTAGAGCAGCAATGGAAGTCACCCAGATTCTTTTGAATGCACAATCTCAGTGGATAGTACAGTTCGGAAACATGCAGAAGAAAGCCTGAAACACTTTCAGGAAGAAAACATCTCTGTGTTTTTGCTATCTCTTTCTAATGAGTTATCAAACAACGAAAAGCCTGTTGATAGCCGTAAATTAGCTGGCTTGATCCTTAAAAATTCTCTGGATGCGAAGGAGCAGCATGGGAAAAATGAACTTGTCCAAAGATGGTTGTCCTTAGATGTGGCTATCAAAACCCAGATCAGAGCTTGCTTGATGCAGACCCTTCTTTCTCCTGTTACTGATGCTAGATCTACTGCATCCCAAGTTATTGCTAAGATTGCAGGTATTGAGCTACCTCAGAAACAGTGGCCTGAACTTACAGGCTTTCTATTATCAAACATCCACCAGCTTCAGCCTCATGTTAAGTAAGCCACAATTGAAACTCTTGGCTATATATGTGAGGAAGATTCTCCGCAAGTCGTTGACCAAGATCAAGTCAACAAGATACTGCTGTTGTTCAGGGTATGAATGCATCTGAGGGGAGTATGGATGTCAGACTGGCTGCTACCCGAGCCTTGTATAATGCTCTCGGTTTTGCACAGGCTAATTTCTCAAATGACATGGAACGAGACTATATTACGAGAGTGGTTTGTGAAGCCACTTTATCCACAGAGGTGAAGATACGGCAGGCTGCATTTGAGTGTTTGGTGGCCATCTCATCTACCTACTACAACAAGCTTGCATCATACATGCAGGACATATTTAACATCACAGCGAAAGCTGTGAGAGAAGATGACGAGCCTGTTGCTCTTCAAGCTATAGAGTTCTGGAACTCTATTTGTGATGAAGAAATTGACATCTTAGATGAATATGGGGGTGATTATACTGCTGATTCTGACATCCCTTGTTATTATTTTGTCAAGCAAGCACTGCCTGCATTGGTTCCTATGCTGTTGGAGACACTTCTTAAGCAGGAAGAGGATCAAGATCAGGATGAAGGATCTTGGAACCTTGCGATGGCTGGTGGAACATGCTTGGGTTTGGTTGCACGCACAGTTGGAGATGACATAGTGCCTCTTGTGATGCGTTTTATTGAAGAGATCATAACAAAACCAGATTGGAGGCAATGAGAAGCAGCAACATATGCATTTGGTTCGATTCTAGAGGGTCCATCACCTGAAAAACTCATTCCTCTTGTGAATGTTGCTCTAAACTTTATGCTTACTGCCATGATGAAAGACCCAAATAACCATGTCAAGGACACTACCGCATGGACACTTGGAAGAATATGAGTTTCTCCATGGGTCAACTGTGCAAACACATGTAATTACTCATGGGAATTGCCATCAGATCCTGATAGTCCTTCTACAGAGCATGAAAGATGTCCCTAATGTTTCTCAAGGTTACGAGGATGCCACTTCAGTATCGCCGCTGTCCCCTTTCTTCCAAGACATTGTCCATGCTCTTCTCAATGTTACACACAGGGAAGATGCTGGATAATCTCTCTTGAGGACTGCAGCGTACGAGACTTTGAATGAAGTTGTGAGAGCTTCAAGGGATGAGACAGCCCCAGTAGTAATGCAATTGGTTCCGGTTATCATGATGGAGTTCCACCAAATGCTTGAGGCACAGAAGCTTTCATCAGATGAAAGAGAGAAGCAGAACGAATTGCAGGGCCTTCTTTGTGGGTGCTTGCAGGTTATCATCCAGAAGTTGGGAGCATCTGAGGCAACAAAGCATGTTCTAATGCAGTATGCAGACCAGATAATGGAGCTCTTCCTCAGGGTTTTTGCTTGCCGAAATGCTACAGTGCACGAAGAGGCTATGCTCGCCATTTGTGCTCTAGCATATGCTGTTGGTGGAAATTTTATAAAGTACATGCAAAGCTTTTATCCATATTTAGAAATGGGTCTTCAAAATTTTCAGGAATATCAGGTCTGTGCTGTCACTGTTGGCGTGGTTGGGGATTTATGCAGGGCATTGGAGGACAAAATATTGCCCTACTGTGATGGAATCATGACACAACTCCTTAAGGATTTATCTAGCAATCAGTTGCACAGATCTGTTAAGCCCCCAATATTTTCATGTCTTGGTGATATTACACTAGCAATAGGAGAGAACTTTGAGAAGTATCTGATATATGCCATGCCTATGCTCCAAAGTGCAGCAGAGCTGTCTGCATACGCTGTTGCAACTGACGATGAAATGCTGGAATATACCAACGAACTCAGAAATGGAATTCTGGAAGCATTCTCTGGGATATTACAGGGATTTAAAAGCTGTCCGAAGACCCAGCTGCTGATGCCTCATGCACCTCACATCCTTCAGTTCCTTGATAGATTGTACAATGGAAAGGACATGTGGGTTTTCATATTATGACTTTTCTAATTTAGGTTAGTTTTTGGATAATTGTCTTTTTTCTTTCTGACTGACATGTGATCATTTCTTTTCTAAACTAGTGATGAAGTTGTGATGAAGACTGCAGTAGGTGTCCTGGGTCATTTAGCTGATACCCTGGGTGCTCACGCTGGGACTTTGATCGATCAGTCTGCTGCAAGCAAAGAATTTTTGGGAGAATGCTTGCTATCAGACGATCAATTCATAAGAGAGTCTGCTGATCGGGCTAAGTTGGCCATTAGTCGGTTGCGGTCTCTGGTTAATGATAAATTTTGGCACTTTATATAATTTTGCATATGCATAGCGGTCATGTCAAGTCTGGTCTGGGTTGCATGAATGTGTCGGTCGTCACCATTTTGCGCAAGGTGTGTCTTTCTGGACGGTCACATGGACCATTTTTCAGATCATGCATGAGCACCTTGTATTGGGATCTTCTCATTCGCTTTGGAAATGGAGCTTAAATGCGGTCCCACTGCTGATTCTTCAGGAGAGCTGAAATTCATTTTTTGGAAAATCTGTAAGGAGCTATACACCGTATGTCTGCAAAGACTGAGGTGCCTTTTTTTTGCTCAACTGTATGGTCCTTGTCCTTCGCATGTCGTCCTTCTGCAACAGAAGCTAAATCATGGTGAATGCCTGGATCGAAAGACACAAAAGCAGCAGTGGTTGTGGTCGAAGAGCATACTGTGTTTTGCATCACAACCAAGTACATAATACTCTCCTCAACCCCGCAACTATGCCTTTTTGCTGTTTGGTTCTTGTTCTTTTTCCCAGGGGATGGGATGTTGTCTTGGTTCTTGCATATTTGTTTCTGGACTGTCTGCATTTCTTGCTCCTCCACTTAAGCAAATTGTAGAAGTCATAGTACGTGGCTCTTAGTGTATGCATTATACTATCTGTTGTGTCAGTAATTACATCAATTACAAGGTTGTCTTGGCATTCATCCTCACTGCCATGGAAGGTAGCTGTTGCAGTGGTCACTCCGTCCGCATCTTGTACTTCCTTTTTAATGGTCCTACCGAAATTGCCTGTTTAAGTGATGGGTTTTCTTCAATGTATACAGTTGTATTTATCTGACTTCTTGTTCGCTGAGTGGAAAAGAAATGCTAATCATATATTTTTTGGGATATCATATAGATCAAACTGAAGGAATCTGTGGTAGCATTAGAGATAATGATGCCAAGTTTTGGTAGGTGCTCAATGTTGCCCGAAGACATTCTTTTTAAGTTAGTTGAGTATAATTTCATACAATTATCATCGGTTTTATCCATATCTGTTCCTCCTATGCATGGAATTAACATCATCTTTAAGACAAAAGTTTGGAGGTCTCTGCAAGATGCTGCATCTCTTTAAGAAGCATCTTTCAAGACCTCTTTGATAAACACAGTTTTTGCTGTTGAAGCTGTTGTTAAGACTCCAATAGGCAATAATGCTTCTGATTCTGAATCATTCGACCTAATGCAGAAAGACTGATTTGAAGTGATTGCCAGTGATTTGAACTAATGCAGAAAGATCTGATCATTAATTGTTAACACTTTTTTTTTAATATTTGGAACACAATAAATTTGCCTTTTCTTGTATTTCTTTATTAAACAAAAAACCATGCCTTTCTTTGCTAATTCTCTCACACTCTCGCGCTATCTTTCTTTTTCAGTCTAATTATCTTAATGCTCTTCGGTGTTATCGTTAACTCACATCTCAAGTTATCTTATGCAGAAACAAACTAAAGATTTTTGTTGTAGCAATACAGTTGTTGTGTATTGGTTGATTGAGACTTCAATAAGTAGCAGCCGAGAAAATGCCAGTCATTATTATGATGATATCATTAAGATAGCAACATATCAAAGGACTGCTACTCAGATGTAACATGATGGGGTACCACTTTCTCTTGATTGCCAAGTTTGGCCAATTTCTTGCACAAGTTTCGCCTGTTGATATGCACAACAGTGTCAACTACAGTATATTGTAGGAATTTTCCATCAAGTGTTGTGCTTTTCACAATGATCCGAAGACTTGTATTTCCAATCTACTTTTCCATATGAATTTGACCTGACATATAAATGCAGATCACACTTGATCCTGATGTTCTCCACATGCAGTCATTGAATCTTTGAACCGCAAAAGATTAAGCGTTTATGTCCATAGAACTGCTCTGCCGACACATAAACCATCAGCTTTCAGATCAACAACATGGATCCTTGGCAAGGCTGAAACAAGATTAATCACAGTATTATTTCTTGATTGTGCTACACACCCATTGCTTTTCAAAAGCTAGAGAGAGGAGGTGTGGCAATGGCCATGCACTATTCCATTGCAGGGATACATGGATGGCCAGTCAGCTTCATTGATTTGTTTGCCTTGGTGGTAAGATGGTCACCACCAAAATCTTGGTCCAGATTGTGATACAGTGGTAATGGATGGTGAAGTCCTGATTCTTTTTGCATAAAGGAAAAGATCCAACCAATTCATCAAAGTGAAAAGGATATTGGGTCATAGGTGCAGCGTATGAGACTTACTTGCAGAGCTGCACAAGAAGGCGAACAGTATGAAGCACCAGAGAAACATCCTTTGATTCAATTTGACTCTCTCTCTCCCTCTTTCTCTCTCTTGATTGCTTTCCTACAGCCACTTCTCTGGCCACCTACACTTGCAGTCGCAACACTTGCTCTCTATGAACATGCTGGTCCACTTAATATGGTCAATTTAGGTAGGCTGTGATGGCATATTGTTGCATGTTGATGTACTGCCCTCAATTATATTGCTGCTGGATTCTCTCCTTTGTTCTGTAAATCTGTGTACGAGTCAATATGCGTACGATCAAAGTCGATCGTATATTCTTACAATGATTAGAAAATATCTCTTGATGAACAGAATTATGATATGGCCTTTGCTGAGAGGATCATTGAATTGCATGCTTAGAACTAGTAGTTTCATGACAAGATTTAAGGTAAGCATTGGCAGAAGCCAAGATCTCAAAATTCTGCATTCCCTTAATTGTTATCTGTACAATGCTGAATCTGAACTCTCTCTGTTTTGTTCCTCATGGGACTGTTGGTGCTCCTAACTGGTACTTGTTGCTTTTCTTGAATTACTATTAAAGAGATCTCCTTGATAGCCTACCCTATGAGATCTGCACTTGTCTCCTCCAATATGAAACTTAATCCTTACCACCATACCATTATGGACATACATTTTGTAGCCATGGATCTGAAACATGCTCTGCTAACAACCAAAGAGCTTAGAGGGCAAAGACACAATGTCTAACTATGTTAGAAAATGGGTTTTCAATAGCTCATGTGAGGAGAATAGGCAACAAAGGATGCTGAAGTTACTAAGATAGTGTAGTTGACTTAAAACTGTTGGTGTGCTAATGGATTTCATCATCATTCCACAATGCAATCATGGAAAAGGACCATGACAAGCCTTTTCCAGCTGCCATTGATCAACCATAAAAGGAGCCTTGGTTCCCTGCAAACCTCCCACAAGCCCCTCATAGAGAAAGCAAACAGCAAGAGCAGCAACCATGCCAAGAGTCAAAACCTTCCTCATCTTTCTCTTGCTGATCCTTCTCCTTGCGTCTTCTTCTTGTAAGTACTTCCTTTGGGTTTTGTATGTCCTATTCCTTGTTATATTCTCTCTGATGCACTGTGTCTTCCTCACAGGCCAAGCTGGAAGAACTCAAACTGGGAAGGAACCTGCATACCTGGTGGCCAGGGTAATGAGCATGTTTAATCATTTGCATGCAAGTGAAATAGCTACCTTCACAGATCATGAACTTAGTGAAGGCAGTTTTCTACTCTTTACTAGCTTTTCAATCCATGTACAGAAGAAGACATCTCATTATCCAACAAAACATGTCATTGGCTGTTCATGAGATGTAGCAGAAATCTGAAAGACTCAAAATGATTCAAGAATGGATTTAACCTCTACTTTTGTAAACCTTCTTCTTCATATCTTCTAACTCTGTAATATACCTGATGGCCAATTATCTAACAACACTTCATTACCAGAGGTTTTAAATCAGCAGACTGTGTTGTCACCTTAAAATAGTTGGGAGTAGGATTGCTTCTTTTTGGAGGAAGACAGTTTGTCTTAACTGGTAACAGAACTGCATTTGATGAGTTTTCTAATACATGTGTCCATTATCTTTGCAGATGAACAGCAGAAAGGCATTACTGGAGACTACATTAGATTATGATTATGGAGGAGCCAACCCTAAGCATGACCCCAAGAAAGGAAAGCCAGGGATTGGAGGCAAACCCTAGCTTAAAGCCTCTTCTGTCCCACTGGATTAGTCTCATCTTTACTGTTTCTTTCTCTGCACATCAACCTGCAGCATCAAAAACACATATAGATATTTATGTTCTACATGTTGTCAATTTTTTCAACTGTATGGCAATACTGAGATGCCGATGTTCATGTGGTTCTTGTTGAGGCAGGAGCTCCCTACTCAATCTTCTTGTGCCGCTGAACAATACATGTACTGGTTTGAATCAGAGTGTAGCCTTTGAATCAGTAAAATGAGAGTGAATTTGTACTACTAGTCTCTTGTTTCATGTAATAATCCTTAAGGAAGCAAGTCAATGATCTTATATGTGTGTTATCATTGCATCTTTGAGTCTCTACTCATCTCTTTAATCATTTTGGTGAACTGAATTGAGGTCATCTTCATCTCTATCTGACTCTCACACCTCAGAAATGAAAGGAAAAGCATGGGTGTTGCTTTGAAATGTTTCAAGTAAATCCAAACCTATGAACTTGTAGTAGGTCTGTCAACATCTACATGGAAGCATCTTATCTATTAAATAGTGGCCTCTTCCATGATCATGAACATGACAGAGGTGGCCTTCTTCTCCTTCTTCTTCTTCTTCTTCTACTTCTTGAGGGTTGCTATCTGTAACTATCATCTTTGTGGGGACCAATTCCTGCACCACAAGAATCAAAGCAGTGGCTGCCAACCCATTGAAACATGCACCAGTGTGTAGTTCAACCCCATATCCACTGAGCAGCTTCTGAGAAAGAAGTGGGGATGCAGCTACCACCATGATCACCAAAGAATGGTGAGATAAAAAGAGTGCAGGAAAATCTAAGAATTCGACAAAAAAGTACCTTCTATCGACTATGCCGACATGTAGAATATAAATTTTGGTTGGTAACTTCTGTTAATCTCCTTTTCTTGCACAAGGTCTAGCTGAAAACAATGTTAATTGATGAGAGCAAGCAGACTGGGAGCTTAAAACAGCAAGATCTGAAACTTCTCTAGGGTTAAGGCGACCTGGAGAATTTCACCAACAGATCCACAGCTTGTGGTGTTTCCCATGCATCTAATTAATAATCATAGTTAAAAATGAGAAAATTATTGAACTGGAATTACCTGCTCTATAGCTCATGCTCATCTTTCCACTGAAGAGATGAGTTAAGCATCCTACAATGATTTGTCAAGCCCCTTATGACTTAGGCTGATCTTAGATCATAAAATATATCTGTTTTTGATCCAGAATTAGAACAAGAGTCACATCCAACAATTACCTTTGCTAATCTTCATCCTTCAGAAGAGTTTTGGTTTCTTTCATTTCTTTGGTAACAAAATTCTTCCTTTTCACCATAGCAGCAGATGTTTTCAAGAGCATTTGCTAGATAAGTGTAAAAGGCCAATTACTTAAATGCAGGTAAATGCATGGTATTCAAGATCTCTCTGTGATTATGAACAATACAGGAATGTTTTGTGTCATAAAAGGAAATGAGATTAATATCCAGATTTCTAAGAAAGCAGATCTTTCTGAGAGGTTAAAAATGTGTTTTTCAGAGTAATCAAGAAATTAATAGTAACAGTTTGGAAGCTTGAATTATTTAATATGGAAAGAAAGGTTCAAAGCTAGCAATTGTGCCATTTGCTATTATTCATATCAAACCAACACATCAAAAGAATCAACTATCATAAATCATACATTTTAGAATACATTCGTTGCAAATTTAAGAATAATGACAATGTCAATTAAGTTTTGGCCATCACTGTGTATTTCCATCTGTAGTTGATGTGACTAGATAAACTGAATTGATGAGGATTAAAGATAGATGCCAAGGGAAATAGAAGAAGAATTAAGAAGACTTTATTGAATACAGTAAAAAGATATCTAAATGCTATCTAACTAGAAAGACAATCCTACACATTACTCAATAAGAAAGATCCAAGCAACCCAACATAAATAGTTGGGACATCTAGTTGTTACTGAAAACACACAGGCTTAATGACCTCATTGAAGGCAAATTCCAGTTAACAAAAGCCAAGATGGAGAGTGCAGAGCAAACATGACTTCTCCTGCCACATGTGCAAAGTCTAATCAGGACTCTTGTCTTCCTCCTGATGGACATAGGTAAATCCACCCTAGCATGGAATCTAACAGGGTCCTGACACTATAAAAGGGGTGTCATAGGCTTTGAATAGACTATTCAGCAGATAAAGTTATTTCCTTATTAAGGCATGGGATAATTCTTGGTGTTATCCTAGCTGCATCTTGTGGTCCTTTGTGTTGACTCCTCTTAGAACACATGATAGATTTTATCTCATTATCTGTATAATTGTACTTTTGTTGATCTACCTTTGTTGGTGATCTTATAGTTTTGACAACCATTATGGAACTCTTGCATGGTTCAAGGATGCTGACATTGTCCTGGCTGTAGATCTAACAATTTCTGTGGCAAAGATTGCACAAGAGTTGACAACAAAAAAGAGAACCCCAGAAAATGATTAATAATAGTCTGTTTGTTCTTCCAAAACCCTAGTCTCACATGGTACATGTACTACATTTCATCTTACTAGAATTTGACAGGGTGCTGGTATTTGCTTTAGTTCAATTTATAGTTAGCAACCATTTGATGTTCAGTTTTGGACTCTTGGTGTCGCAAAAAAGGAAAAATAACCTTTGATAAATTGCATATAAACAAAATTAGCATACGATTTTGATTCATCAAGAGATATTTTGCTATTTTTTTAGCAACTGAGAGCTTGGTTAGCATATAAGAAGATTTTTCTTGGCCAATTTTGAACCTTGAAAATGATCAAAACTGCTAATCCCTTGTCTAAATTGCATAAAATAGAAAAGCCAAGAAAACCATTGCAGAAATGGATCCAGTATTTATTTGTCATCAATGCACCCAATAGTTGTAGTAATTGCAGTGATTTTACAATAAAATAACAGCTCCTTTCCATTATTAAACAAAATTTTCTATAATTTCATAGGTAAAATTGGAGATACACAACAAAACCATACAAAGAACATAAATTTGAGGCAACAGGAGCACAGTTAATGACTACTTCTACACCTTCCTATCGATTGCCTTGTACCATGCAGCTTTCTGTTTGCTCACCGTAGAAATTGAGATAAAATTGAAAACATATTAAAATAGATGAGTTCTATGTGGATGACCGACTGTTTTTTTTCTCTCTCCGAGTTTCTCTTACAGATTAAATATCTCGGGATTCATCCACATAATTATAGAGCATACCATCTTTTCATTTGCGCCTACTAAGCAGAGACTTGATGAATTTCTTGCCATTGCTTTGGTTCTGCACGCTGTCCTTTTGGTTTTTCCATTCAGCATGCAAGCTCACGGATGCTAATTTCTGAGTTCGTGAAGAAGACTGCATGGTAGAAAAGCATGGAGTGCACATTTTGATTTCCTTTGGAAGAGAATATTTTGAACTCAAGGCAACCAAAATTTGATGATAAACTACAGCACTATATTCAATCAGAATATATGTGCGTGTATTGCAGATGTGCAAAAAACCTTATGTTATCCTGATAAATGCAAGTTTCATACTTCTTGACATCTCGGGCGATTATAATGCTTGGACAGTAATGCTACTGCATGATGTAAATCAGTATAACATGATCACATTACAATCAAAATTCAATTATTTAGGCACTTAGGAATTTCCCTATCACACATTTACTTAAAGAGTTTTCTTTAGCAATTTCCATAATGTAAAAATGGGCAAGCAGGGAACATGATTGTTAATGACAGGATTACATCCACATGAGGAATTTTACATTGTGATAGCCTGTCCCGGATTTCTTAAATAGTCTCCTGGCAAACTCTTGAAGACATCTTGTAAGACTTGTAAAAATTCCCTCTTCTATGCCTAAACAATGGAATATGAATGCTTCATGTAGATATAAAAGATCAGAAATTCTCTGTTACTTTTATTGCACCCGAAAAAACTTTGACACACAATCCTAAAGAAGAATATAGTAATGCATCTTACCTGCCCTGCAATACTCAATAATGAGTTGAGTTCAGTTGACCTTGTTATAAATAATCTTGATTGCGCAAGTGGATTCGGCAATGAAAAAGGAATTTTTTTCTCTGTAGTGCATACAAGGAAAAACAAAAAAAAAAGACTTATAGCTGTTTACATCAAATACTAGCATCTGTTTAAATGAATAAGCACAAGCTAATAGTATTGGTGATCCAGCACCTGCACTGAAAGCCCTTTTAGGTTGTTGTGACGGCAATGAATGATGCATTTTCCTAGGAGATAGAGGTGACATGGCGAGCATTTTCCTGTAAAAAAAAAAAGTTCACTAAGCATACACAAAATTAATATTCATTTTGTTATAAGAACATGGTTATATTGCTAAAATTTGCTATTGGCAATCAGAATATAAGAACACAAATATGTACCTGAAAGAAGGTGGCTTGACCATTTTTGTCAAATGGACTGTTGGAAAGCCAAAGAGTAATATTAATCGGTAGTTCTACACAATCAAGAGCTACCTATTACTGAATGCATGCTATCAAGGGAAATGCATCAAGATTTTACCAGCGTGAGATTTGTTTGGTTCAGTATTATTATCATTGTCTGCATTCAGGTTCTCATATTTTGGTGCTGCATGCCTTCCTGAATCAGGCATGGATTTACCTACTGAGCTACCACACAAAGGAAGCACCTCAGACATAACAAGAGTCAAGAAGAACTCTGATCACTTGTCAAAATTATAAACTTGAACAAGAATATATAGCTTATAGATAAGCTTCCAGCACGAGAGAAACATGAACCGCAGAAAGACCAGTAACTTACCTGGGAAAGTGTACTGCTTGGAATAACTGGGAGCTTTAATCACCAGAGACTGTTGGAGAAGACCTTCGCGGTCAACAAGTTCTTGGCATGTTCGAATTCTCTGGAATTGTATGAAAAAATGAGAACTTTGACTCGTTTTAAGCTCCCAAATTATTTAAGCGATGATGAAATACTGTGATGTTTTAGTCTTTTCTCATATAATTTGATTTATATTAAAAAAATATTGATCCTCAATTTGAAATTAAGAACCATCTCTCTTGACATCAATGAAAACATACCTGTTCAATACTGGAAACTCGGAACTCCACCCCAGACAGCTCATCAACCTTCTCTTCAAGAAGGCTGTTTACCTTGAATGATACTGATCCAAGATGATCCACAGTATTAACCAGAGCCTTAATAGCATACTCTTTCAAGGTGTTGAACACACTGCACAAAACCCATCACTCAAACATTGAATTAGAAGAAACAAGACACATCCTGGTTCCAGTTCTTCTGCAACGAATCTTTGTGAAGTTAACTAAAGATACACATACAGCAGCTTGTTGTCATCAGTAGCGTATGACAACTCAAAATACTCTGCGGCTGAGTACAATTGCAACTTCAATTTCTTCAAGTCCTGAAGACACAGACCGATATGAGAGCAAAAATTCAACATGCTAAGTACCAATTTACAGATCATGAATTTCCTGGGTGATCAAAAACAAAAAAAGAATTGGCATTTTTATAAAAGAATAAAACAATAACACCAACTTTTGACAAAAAACAATCCCAAACTACATACACATCACTAATAAGGTAGCCAGTCAAATGATAATGAGAACTGTAGTAGCAGAAAAACAACTAAGGGAGTAACTTTCAGAAAGATACTGAGATGTTTTTCTGATGGAGGAAAACTATGAAATACTGTACATGTCATTAGATGAAATAAATCATCAGTCAACATAGTATCAGAATACCGGCAAATGCTTGATGCATATACAATTTGTAGGTCATTATTACTTCCATTCCTAATTGCATAGTCTTCTCTAAGAAAGTGATTTCAGAAATTTCATCAATTGCTTCCATATCAAGTAATCTTCTTGAGATAATAAGCAAACAATATCGTCATCTGCAATGGATACAAAGCCTAACCAGAAATATAAAGACCGAAGTTGATCTGGAAGAAATCACAGGAGACTATAACAAAAGGAAACAGTGGTTGTGATGCAAGCAGGGCACCTTGAGGGTGTCAGAGAAGAGCAGGCTTTGCTCCATCGAGAGCTCGTCAAAGTTAGACGCATCTTGGTGGTTAAACATCTCAGAAGTAGATGGAAAAGCTACGATCTCCATTGATGACAGAAAAAGATAGCTGCTAATCGAAATCCTTGCTGCGATCACAGCCACGGCATCACCTTTAACACCTCCAAGATAAGAAAGGGAAGACAACACTCTCTCTGTCCGTAAAACCCGAACACCTTAACCGATTCTGGAGATTCATGAGAGCCGAAAGAAGGAAGAAAAGGAAACAGCCACTGCAAGACAAGACCTGATCATCACTCACCTTTCTCAGTTCTGGAACATGCCAAGCTGCCAGCATAAAGCAGCAAAGGTGGCAAAAGAGAACCCAGCGGGCAGCGAAGGCCGTCCAGCGGTGCTCTCTGGCTGAGACGGCCAACTCCGATCCGGAAGGCGACGATGGAGATGATACCTCTACGTTCATCTCGGCTTCCAACATGGTCGGCTCGCCATCGCCACCCACGCTGTCAGCCGCCCGAAGCAGAAGGCAATAGTCGTCACACGTCGTTTCCCGTCTTGACTCCGTGGGACCCACCGAAGGTTTCCTCAGCAACAACAAAAGTCGTCCGAGTGGGGCCGTTATCACGTGATGACACGTGGTGCTCTTAAGCCAAAATTGCAGACGAGTGTCGCTCTAAAGTCAAGTAATTTTCATATTTGCCCCTCCAATTCATATTCATATTCATATTTAAATGGGCCGCTAAGAGAGGGCTATTTAAGACGAGATAGCCTGAAGTGGTGCATTTAGCCCATGAGAGCTCCTTTGTGAACTCACAATTACCATTTGGGCCTTCGACCACATGATTCATGACCCAACCCATGTACTAACATTTTGGGGTTATTTTGGTCATTTTATACACTACGAGGGTCTATAAAAGAGCATGCTGCTAGGGTTGACGGAGGCTTTCGGACTCCGCCGCTTCCGCTCGAGGCGAATAAAGACGATCGAACGGGACTCCCTTCGCTGCCTCCAAACCCAATCCGGTTGGTTTCGTCTCGCTCGCATCCGAACCTCTTTCTTCTTTTTTCCTTTTCGGTTTTGTTCGCCGCCAATTTTAGGGTTTCGTTGAGGGATCCGAGCTTTGATGTGTTCTCCGGGCATTGTTTTGGTCTTTTTTCATCACTTCTATTGATCGGATCTTTGTTTTTTTTTTTTCTCTTGTGTTTTGTGCATCGGTGATCATTTTAGGTGGTCTATTAGCTATGTGTTCGCGGTTCAACTCTTGAGCGCTCGGTGCTTCCTTTTCTGCCCACTTAGTGTTTTTGATCTTCGCCTTCTGTTTGATCTGTTGATCGCTGCTTTCTCTCGGTTTATCCGTTTGAGTATGCCATGGGATACTCTTTATCTCTTCATAGTATTTATGATTTGCTTGTTTCTCTGAAATGATCTAGTCACAGCCTCGCTTAGTTTCTGTCATGTTTCTTTATTTTCTTTAATTATTGTATTTGCCAATGCCTTCCTAGCAGTACAAATGGCTACTGTCCCTGGGCCGCTAATCTGGGAGATTGTGAAGAAAAACAACTCGTTCCTTGTGAAGCAATTCGGTAACAGTACTGCCATGGTGCAGTTCAGCAAAGAGCCAAACAATCTCTACAATGTCAATTCCTACAAGCACTCCGGTGAGGATTTAGCTCTCGGTTTCTTTTCTCATATAGTTTTGAGGTGTTTATAGCGGGTATGCTAATAGAAAATTAACAGGGTTGGCAAACAAAAAGTCAGTGACCATCCAGGGTGGAGGGAAGGACCTCTCCGTTGTTCTTGCGACAACTAAGACCAAGAAGCAGAACAAGCCTGGTAGTTTACACCACAGATCAGCCATGAAGAAGGAGTTCCGTAAGATGGCCAAAGTTGTTATAAACCAGGTATTAGTTTCTTGAAATGCACCCATGTTAGGATATTGCTTTCAGGTGCCTAAATGCGTATTTTAGTCCATTGTTACATGTATTGATGATTCTATAGGATTGGGCATGTCTAGTAAACTACATTGGAGTTTTAAAATATATATCAAATAAACGTAAATACCAACATGTGTGAGATGAAAGTTTTTCTCAGCTGTGTGGCTGATTGATCTGTCTTCCTGAATCAGTTTAAAATGACCCATCTGGCATACCCTTAATGGCCTTGTACTACCATAATCTTGTTCTTCTAGCTACACATTTTATCAATGATAGTTAAAGATGCTGGAAATAGCCTCTCAATTGTAAATGTTTTCTTGGTCACATATTTGATAGTTCTATATATTTTTTAATTATCAAGTATATGTATGTATGTGATTCATGGACTTAAATATGATGCACTGATCCAACCAAAGTATATGGCCTGAAATTGGAACAATATCAATCACTTATGAGTTTTATTATATTTATTATGATATCGAATCATGGACTTAAATATGATGCACTGATCCAACCAAAGTATATGGCCTGAAATTGCAACAGTATCAATCACTTTTGAGTTTTGTTATATTTATTATGATATCGAATGCAGTTAGTCGGTACTACTGTCCGGTATACCAACAACATACTGGTTTGACAGGTTAGAATTCAAATCTTTGCTTTATGTCTTATCCAATCATCATCCATCTCTACATTTGGTTGGTATTAGTTTGATATATGTTTTTGGTTGGAGTGCAAGCCGGTAGCAGATTTTGGAGTATTATGTTTTTTACTTTTTCTGTGGTTTTATTATGATTTCCTTAACCTTCCTATGTTGGCTATATGGATTTGCTAATTGTTCTGGTGATTTATCAAGTGTGGAGTATGTCTCTTTTGTTTTTCTTTTTCTACATTGTTTTGCTTTTTGAGTCTATATAAAAGATGCTGCTGTGTGATCTGTGCATGTTAGAAGAAATATGTTAGTTTCTCTTCGTCCCTGAGTCTGTTTTTCTTCAGGATTGATTGTCACAAAAATTTAGTTTTATTTTATTGTTATTAGTTGCTCCTTGTATTGATGTTCATCTCATGTTTGCAGGTGACGGATAACTACTACAGGCCAGATCTGACTCGAGCAGCTCTAGCGCGGCTTAGTGCAGTGCATCGCAGCCTGAAGGTCGCTAAGTCTGGTGCAAAGAAGAGGAACAGGCAGGCTGTTAAAGTGGGAAAGTAGGTTGCGTTGTTTAGTAGTAGTTCGTTGGTTGTTTTGGTTCCGTTCACCATGTCTTCAAACCGATTTTGAGAACCATTTCTTTTTGCTGTTTATTTCCACCAGAGGAGCCTTCATAATCTAGTTTTACTTGATATGAATTTAGCATTTGGCGCTTGATGATGATCTTGCTTTCAGTAATTTGCTTGATTAGAAGCAGTCGTGAGATCTTTTATTTTGGCCAGAAAACTTGTGGTCTTTCAGTATAACTTCGACTAAAGGTAAAAAAAAGGGTCCGTTGCTCACTACTGTTATTAAGCGTATCGTTTCGCAAGTGAAACTATTTTTCATGTCATTGCAAAATTCGGAAACATTATATTTGTCCTCGTTCAAATCTTCCATTAGAATCCTCCTCACCTATAATTATAATCACTATAAATGAACTTTGAGTTTTATGTAAAATAAGAAAATCTATAGTATTCTGACTAAGTTAAACTATCCTTCATCTGTCATTGTAAAACTTGGAGACATCATATTTGCCTTCATTCCAACCTATATATATATATATATATATATATATATATATATATATGATAAACTTAGTTTTAGGAGGATAAATACCGAAATCACTAAATTATAGGAATATATATGTGCTAAACTTAGGTTTAGAAGGATAGATTAATACCAAAGTTACCAACTTTGCACAATTAGAAATACATACTAAAATTTGTGGAGTCGGGCTGTTAGGCTTTTGGATGAGGCCGGGGTAAACATGTTCCCGCCTTGACGCCGCGTTGCAGCGATAGACTGGCCGACCGATGGGAGTCCTCAGCGAAATGGCGAAAGCAGCATCGTCCACGAGGAGGAATCAGCGCCGGCTGCGATGATTGAGTTGCCTGTAGCAAAATTTTTATTCTCATCATTTCTATCTGTGTAAACTTCTCCCTCTAGATCTTTCCTTTGTTTTTTGTTTCTCGGACTCGTCCATGGAGGATGGACTCGCCTTTTGCTAATTTTCTACTCTGAGTTCTTGACCCGCCCTCAATTCCTTTCTGCAGCTCCTAGTTCGATTTGGTCGGCAATCCGTATGGGTCATTGCAGCGTGTTTTCACCGGATTTGTTTCTGGTGGTGCTACATCGTGTATCTGGTTTACACCATCTTCCAGCAAGCTTGCCATCCGTGGGACTGGTACCTTCCTATCTAATTTACTTTTGCTTAGATGGATCTTTGAATGCCTTTCTTGAGCGAGATGAAGTTTCACATGATGTTTTAACCCTTGGGTGATATGTAGGTTTTTGTGCGATATAATTTAGTATAAATAGATGTGTTTATTCTTTTTCCTCAGAGAAGTCATTTCTGGTTTTTCATGACCCAGTATCACCTATATGAAGGTGATATTTGGAATAGCACTTTCCTAAAACCAAATTAATCAGATTTAGCCTAACATGATTTTAGAAAAGGATCTGAATCAGACTTTGGGTAAACAAATGTGAATTTTGCATTATTCAGTTATATTAGTAACAAATAATCAAGCATCAACTAAAACTTATCTATCCACATTTCATGGATAGGAAGACCTTATAGCAAGTGCCGAAAAGAAAAGAAACTATGAGAACTAGATTATACGTTGTACTGAGAAAAAATAATTAGATAGCATATTTCCATTAAGTAATATAGGGATATATAACATTTAACAGGGAGATCCAATATTTTGAAATGTATTCCAAACACCAATATGACTGAACTTATATGTGTGTCTATATCCGTAAAATTTTGGAATGTGAAATTTGTCTAGGTAGCCATATCTGATTTCAATCAGACATAGATAGCAACTCAAACCAATATTTTCTTACCCGGATTTAACCCTCGTCATAAGGTATCAAAACCAACAATACTTCCACAAACCCAATTAACATAACAAGCTCTGCTGATGATGACCAGAAATCTGAATATGGAAACTAACACTGACTTGCAATCTGACATTACTAAATTTTGCTCTTGAAATCTCTTAGACAACCTACTTTCTCATAGAGTTATGGAGCATCAATATAACTCTTAAGCATATGTCTTCCGGGGTTTAGTGGTGGCAAGTGCACCATTTTGGTCATCTCGATTTCCTAATGTTCTGGATGCCATAGTGCCTATCCTCTGGATCTTATGCTGCAGTGTTTCATAGAGCTTCACAGTACGGAATGGTGAGATGCACCAGCCAATTGCATCGAGGTACCAGCCACACCTTCCACTGAACCCAACTATCATGCCTCCCTCCATTGGCAAGGTGAATGGGATCCCATCCTGGACACCGAAAGGCCCAAAAGTCCTCTGGTTGCTCTTGAATGTAAGTGATCTGATGACAGGAGAACCACCATATGCCATAGGACAGTAGTGGCCACTTATGGTTGTCAGGTATTCTTCTGGATGCTCCAGTTTAATCTGCATGATGGCATGTTTTGTTAACACACATGGGTTAAGTGACTAAGAGTTCAGCACTTCCAAGTTTAATAATAAACCACAAGATACAAAATCAATATGCCCTTATTCATTATAAAAGACATGACAAGTTGAACATAGTTCCTGCATAACCTAATATCCTGGATCAGATAAGCTAGGTTACTTTTCAGTTCACAATTTTGATGTTTGCTATATGATAACATTGGTGCCACTGAAAGCTTCCATTTTCTGTCAAATATTAGCTTCTACTAGTGTACAAGAAGCTCTTAGCAGTCTAAACATAGCATCGGGGAACTAACTAGTTAATTCAAAAGTTCTATGGTTGCAGAATCCATTTTCTGTCAAATATTAGCTTCTACTAGTGTACAAGAATTTCTTAGCTGTCTAAACATAGCATCGAGGAACTAACTAGTTATTCACAAGCTTTATGGTTGCAGAAGTAACAAGGTGCATACCTTTGTGGTCATGCTGCCACCATTTCCTCCATGCTTTTCTGCCAGAAAAGGCTTCCCATTCTTGTCATATTCAACCCGAATTGAGTCAATGCATTGATCATACACAAGAGTGATCTCCCTTACTCCTGTGTTGATCCCATCATCCCAAGTGCTTCCACCATGGCCTCCCCAAGGGCCTACCTTCAGGGTCTTGCTCGATCCGACCACCTTCTTTTGTGCTTGCTGCACCAAAAACCATCCAGCCAAGCACCATTAACTTGCATGCTAAAAATTGGCTGACATTTCAAGGAGATTTATGATAGTGAACAATGACGAATACTCAAGAGCCGACGCTTGATCAAAATGGTAGGCACACGTCAAGGAAGAGCTAATAAACTTTCCCATGTCTTTAACTACAAATCCTTACTATTCTATATAGGTAATGGTGACCCTTCCCTTACCATGATGACTCCAAGGATATCAAGCAGCAAATGATCAAACTTCCTCTTTGAGAAGTAGAATGGAGGGAACAATATCGATAATATAATGTGATGGAAGTGGAGACAGAATCCAATGCTTTTGTCCTTTCAACAGCATATATACCTTTATTTCTTTTCGAAAGCATGAGGATAGATGATTGCCTGTAAAGATCCAAACTTATTGACCCTTGCAAGAGAATAGCACTTGTTTGTTGGTGGGTTTGGTCGTATCTCATTGGAGATTTTACACTTTTTAGTCCAATGAACTTGAATAGATTCCTGAGTTGATGTTCGTAAATTTAGTTGTTTTAGCAAATTGGCACATATCACAAAACAAATCTTGATGTTAACTAAAAATATTATATTTCTGTGCTATCTTTGTCTCCAAATTTGTCTCAGCAGAGAGAGTATTTGTGATGAAAATATAGTCTTCCATTTTCCAGCTGATTAAGTAGACAAGCTTCAGAACCTAATTTAGATAGATGACAAGTTTTAGAAACATTTGTCTTGAAGACTTTCCACAGGATATGTTGCTGACACTTGAGGAATTGATATATTATTAAGTTGCAGTAACGTAGAAGCTGAAAGGAAACCTCTACTTGATGCTAGATTCTAGAAAAAGCCATTGGGCATCTTCTTATCTTCTTTTCTTGTTGTCATTTTTAGATACATCAAACTTTAGCCAGTTAGACAAATTCTGGGGGCAGCATCTTCTTCATTTAATTCAAGGCCATAACTTTAGAGATTTTTGTACAGACCACAAATCTTGCTTTCAGTTCAGCTCTATTCTGTGAGGATGACAGACGAAGGCACTTCTCTTTTCTAGAGAAACCCAAGTGTTTAACAGAATCAGAATGCTACTAGTACAGTGTGCCATCTAAAACTCTGTTGTCGAACCAGCTTCTGTTAGAAGTACTACTCCATAAAGCGAACTTTCTTCTACCCAGTTTCTTTAAAGTGATGTTAATGCAAATCAGCTAGAACTTCCTTTGGATTAGTCCAAACAATTGTTATAAGCACCTAATTGTCTTGGTCAAGTATATTGAAGGAAAACTGAAACATTTTATTATTTATGCAATAAGTAAGGTTGTGACAGGAACCAATAAAGCTATAAAGATTTGTAAGCAACTCCAAATAGGGAATGATGCTAATCTTGTTTCTGTTTTATATATGGTTTGAACAGAAGAGAAAAATGGTTAGATTCTTCAATGAATACAATATTCTTATTCTTAATGTTTTATCCTTGCAGAAAGCTTTCCTGCATGGTTATTGTTGTATATCATATTGTTTTCTGGTAACAGCAAGGATGGACAGTTCACCAACAGATGAGCAGATGGGCACTTTTGTTGTTTATATACAATTCATAATGGTCTGGCAAGCATTACAACTTACAAGCATCCTGAAAGTTGGCACGCACATCAGGATTTCAGTAAAATGCAGGAGTTGGTAATCAACATCCATTTCTTATTCTGCATATTTGTTATGGCAATAAAACTGTTTTGCTCAATCAATTTTAAGCATAACTTTCCATGACTAATGCAGTGAAATGAAGATGGATTTTCATTGATGAAAATGGTATCTGATAATAAATGGTATCTGATAATCATGGATGAATTAGGCCGTGGGGAGAAACAATGAAGCTATTGCATGCATAACTATATTCAATTACAATGGCTATGGCAATTTATGTCCTTTCCTTGTCTTGGTGGATCATCAAGGGAATGAACAAAAATAAGCCATCGCCAGTCATCCATGCCTATTCAAGACGTCCAGTGGAACAACACATGATCTGAAGACATCAACTGGTACACATACTGGTATTTGTTTGATATCAGATAGTGACTTGATCAATCTCTGAGCAGAAACCAACTCACAGTATCATAACTTGAATGATTCTTTTCAGGCTCTTGAATGATCGGTTCAAATTCATATCATCTCAATCATGCATCCTGAATGATTAAAATTCATATCTTGGAGATACTTTTCTGACAAAAACGAAGACCAACTGGTAAATCTCATCCCACTTACACTGTTATCTGTTTGTCCGTGGTAGTGACTGGATTAAACTCCATGCACACGCAACTCAACAAGATCTTAAATAATTCCTTTATATGCATAATAATCTCAGCAACATCTTAAATAGTCTCAGCCAATTGTTTTCGACTACTTTATATACACAATATATTCTTTTAACATTTTAATTTAGTTGAGTGGGTAAAATACACGAGGGGTTGCTGAATTATGAGGCATCTCTAAAGAAGGGGTTTGGCAATTTCAAGCAAAGCCAAACAAATAAATGTAACATCTAAGTACTGTTCAATTGTTTCCCAAAGCACAGATTCACCAGCACTTGAATCAGAAATCTGATGATGGTAGATGAAAGCAGCTAAATATGAAGAAGAGGACACCATAAAAGCATCACGAAAACACTAGTTTTAACTTGGCAATCTTAAGCATAAGAGATCGTCACAGATTCCCTGTACACACGATGGATTTTGTTTAGCTTCATAACTGAGTCCTGACTGAAAATTTACTTGCACGCTGTTCAAACAAAAGCTTATATCTCTCTCATTACATTTACACTAAATTCTGCTGGGCACCGTACCTTAAAAGAAAAGAAAACCCACAAAATGCTAGCATCATGTCCTATGTGTATATTCGGTCACTCACATAACATTTTACTGAATAAATGGGGAAAAGAACAGCTCAATGCACAAGACTCCCACTGACATGGAGCTGGTGAAGATTATGTTACATAACCCTCATAGGAAGAGAGATTATTTCCATGGCTTAAACAATGATCACGTGGGTTGTAGAGGAATTACCTTACTATAGTGCCAAACAGATCCTCTGTTGCCAGATTAAAAAAAGACCAGAATCCCAATTAAGCAGCAGCAAAAACATCAACTGAGCTCACAGACACCCGTGAAATAGTTGGAATTCAGTTCTGGATGTATGATGATCATGAATCATGCTGTTGTCTTTCTTTTTGTATCGACCGGAAAATCCTTGCTGCTGACTCTGTAGCAGACCTAGCATTGTGAGGCACAACCTTGATCACACGAGTGCAGCTATCTCGACCACTGGATTGTGATGGGCAATTATGGTTGTTTGCTGCTAAAGCCGTAGAAAGGAGTGGAGACGTGCTTCTTCCATTTGGTTGTGCCTTCTCAGCAGGACTGCTTGCTGTGCTTCCTTGTAACTCGCTGTTCTTTGACTCTCGAAACTTCCCACGATGGCCAGAAAATGCTTCCTTCGGATGATGGGACATATTGCATGAGCTCCTTGAACACTGCCCAGTTTGCACATTGGGCTGCGAACCAGCTAGATTGTTGACCTGCTCCACTGCAGAGGTTGATATGAGTGGGTTCAAAGCTTGAATGCCATAAGGTGTAGGAAAATAGTGGGGTACGATTGCAGGAGGCCCGGACATAACACCCATATTTGGTGGCCGATGAGATGCTGGAACACCATAAGCTGAGTTTATGAAGTCTCCAGCCACATGGGACATGCCGAGTGGCGTACAGCTTCCATGAGGGGTCATGAAGCCACCAGTTGGTGGACAAGGTCCCATATAGGGCTTGTAAACAAGTCCTTCTGAAGGCGACATAACAGGAACTAACCATTGATTTGCCAAAGGAGGAAAACACCAAGGACTTGATTTGTCATCAGGAGCTACTGGCACCGGTGACAAGTATCCAGAGTTGGGACCAACTTTTGGAACTTGACCTTGTGAACCTCCTTTAGGTCCATCCTCACATGCAGGAAGAGCTGGGATACCAGAAATGTCATCTGGTGGCTGCTCCACATTCTGTTTTGGCTTCTGATGATCATCTTTAGGTCTAAATTCCTCTGGCTGAGAAGTTGTGTTACCTTGAGGTAATAGGGTCTTACTGGGTGCTTCTACTGGAGATCGGCTTATGTAGGGATTGCCTTCCAGAAGTAAATGTGGCGATGCAGCCATCAGCTTCTGAACCTGTTTCAGGTAGAATATTGTCGTAAAATCCATCCATAACTTTATCTAATATAATGCTCTATGACCATCATAACTATCTCCAAAACCAACCTTTATCAACCTATGAAGCTCAAACACTTGTATCGCGAAAACCCTCTGCTGACTGTAAAAAAATTTAAGAATATGTGTCAACACAATAAAGCAGACAAACTTAAGAATAGATCACCAGAACTGAACTGATAAAAGTAAAAGGGTTCTATGATCATCAAATATAAGTTTGTTCATTCAACAACCAACCTAGCAATTTATGTATGGTGTATAACACATGACATTTGCAATACAAAGGACTAAAACAATCCAGTATTGATTGAAAGTGATGCAAGGAAAGAGACCAAAGACTTTTCATCTTTCGTGAACTAAAAAAAAAAGCCCCCCTCTAAAAGGACTGGCATTCACTTACAACTCGATACAACAATAAAATAATCTCTTTAATGAACACCTTAATGAAATAAAACCAGGCATTAGCAGAAAGAAGACATGCTGTCAACTCAGCTTAGTTGAAGTTGCCCATTCAAGGTCATACATGGCCACTATACTAATCTAATCATAGCCAAAATCTTACCTCAAACATTTATATCCTTGAATAAACTCAATCATAGTTTTAGAAAAGAAGCCTATGCGGCCATACACCATAATCAATTGTTAGACTACATCGCATATACCATATACAGTTGTATACAGATATCCATATTATCAGACTGCACATGGCACTTGTGGCTCCACACAGCATAAAACTGCCAATCCTTTAATGATGTGTATCAATGTGGTCGAATTTTATGTTCCTTATATAAATCTCTTTGACAGTTTGAGCAATTGGCACTTTTACCGAGCTTAATCATATTGCACAGTTTTATGGTATAGGATTTACACGTCTATTTTGAACTAGTTATGTGGTAAAGAAGCAGTAAGTGCTTTTGAACAGATGATCTAATTGGATGTACTACTTTCCCCCAAATTCCGTGACTTTCTTAGGCTAGAATTTCCTCATCATGCTAAGCAGTTTTATAGAGCAAACAATCAACCTGATACACATCAAGCCATGCACTAGTTATGTGGATTTTTGCCAAGCATGTGCATATCATCTTTGGATGCACTAGCTTCCCTGATTCCATGAATTTCTTAGGCCCCTCAGCATGACTGAGCAGATCTCTAAAGCTAAGTTTCAACCTGATATAAATGGAGACAGCATTCTAATTACAGTTTGGCAAATTGGCAGTTAAAAGTTAAAACAATATAACAGTCGGAAGGAAGAGAAGTAGAAGGGGACAGATAAATAAAGTACTTTTTAATTTTACAATTAAATTATCCATGAAATAGCAAATTCTGAACCCAGCATTTTCGGGCAAAAAAAATCACAAAAAGTCAAAATATGTTCATCATCACCAATAAATCCGGAAAGAACAATGAAATCCAAGCTTGATAATACCATAATAAAATGCTTCAAGAAGAATATGCATGCTCCATAGCATTAGGACCATAAGAATGTCCATTTTGAGGAATTCTGAAAGTATGATAGTACAGTACATACTTGATAATAGCTCTTCGGGCTTTCCAAAAGTGCTTTGGACCAATTACTCCAACAATATCATCTGGGGATATCCCCAACCATGATACTGTGTCGACCATGGAGGGCTCCAATGTATCATCTTGTCTTACTGCATCTCCATATTCCAGTGACCCACTGCCCTCTTTTTGGCAGTTCTCAGACAAATTTAAAGTTCTTTGACCTTTTTCAGGTGATGCTTCAGAACATAATTCACTTCTGGCTCTCTGAGCTTCGGCATTATTTAAAAGAACATGGTCATTCAAGGTCTGACATCCATTCAAATTACCATTTTCTTGATACAACTCTGGATTTCCATTCACTGATTTCTCAGTGACATGTAAATTACCTGTGTTATCTCTAACCAAACAATCTTTTGAACTGCTTAATCTCTCAGCAGCTCTATGAGAAGCAGAATTCTCTTTGGTTTCCTTTGGCTCTTCAATTAATGAAGTTTCCTTAGAGTTTTTTCCAAAACGATTTATAATAGAATTTTTTGATTTGGTCTCAATACTATCTGTTTGTCCTAAGGGCTTCTCATTTGAATTTGGACACTGAACTGAAAAATCGATCGCAGCAGGACTCTTATGTGTTTGCCGGGAGCTAAGGGTAGATAACTTACCTGCATCTGTCATATGTGCATCTTTCTTCAAGGATGCAAGGACTTCTGACTGATCAAAGGTAGGAACTACTATATCATCCACATCATCCAACATTTTCCCTCTAGACTTCTTCACATTAGGGTTGCGTGGTCGTTGTGTACTACATTCAGCAGCAGCCGATCCTGTGCCAAACAAATTTCCAGAGCTTGTTTGCTTTATGGATTTTCTCTCAAATTCCATCCTTGTCGCAATACTATTCATTCTGTCAGATGTTTGAGAATTAATTACCTCTGCAGAACGAACAGGCACTGGAGGAGTCATATACAGTGGAGAAAACATATTCTTACGATGCCCACATCCCTAAAAACAAAAAGGCTTGTTAGCACTGATTAATATGGCAGAGACACAACAAATGTACTGATGATGACCTCTTTGAAGAATATATTATCATCAAGAAAGCGAAAGCATTAGTAGAAGGAATAGTGGGAAATAGCCAAACAGATTGTAACACTAAAAACAATATTTTAGGGCATCCAAAGACTAAGATTGAGATAAAAGAAAAATGACTGGAAGATGATGATGTGTACTGCTAAAGCATTTCAAATGTCAAGCCACAGAAACAACCAAAATGACAATTTGAAAGATCAGAAAACAAGTGTCTGGGTATTTGAAACAAAGTGCAAAGGCATCACGGTGGTAATTCTAGTAATTTATTTCTGAAAAACTACAAACACTATACTTAGCCAGAAGAAATATGAGAAGGATTCAGATACGTCAGAATGAAACATCTTAAGCATATAATGCATTTCATCAGACTCCAAAATAAGTTTGCGTAATATTTTTTCTAGAAATTGGTCAAACATCATCAGTATATCTGGAAATCCTGGATTATAACGTATTTATTTTGTTTAATATTAACAGAGTTTTCAGAATAGGATAGATGCTAAAGATGTTGATGCTCAAAGTTATTTTCCAAATGAACTCACATATTAAACCAATAATTTCTTGTTTCACCGGAAAGCATATCTCTCACAACTGTAATTGTGGATGTAGGTTTGATTTCTTTTAGCATGAAGAGCAGCCAAGCTTCTATATCTTCAGCAAGTATGCAATTACACCTCCATAGATGCTAAAGGTTCGAGGGGCAATTGGACACAAAAGTCTACTGGAGTCTGGGCACGAGGTATGGCATATATGCTACTGAAGCAAGACAGGATGCAACGTGAAATTCTGGAGAAGCAGAGGAAAACAACAAACAACAGAGGGGGAAAACAATAGCTAGGAAAGAGAAAAAGAATAATGGAGTGAGAGAGGAGCAGAGGACTCATGAAGTACTTGCAAGCAAACTCAATCAACCAACCCCCTTAACTTCTGAAAGCTAAAAAAACATTCTGAAGATGGACACTTGCCCCTTCACAGAGAACAGAATTTTTCGGATCAAGTCTTATCTCTTTTATGTCACAAATCTCACATAGGTGATGAAGGCAAAGTTATCTCAACAATCAATTTTGTCATTATAGAGGCATGCCATTTAAGCACCTTAACCTTCAGTAAAATATTGGGTAAGACGAGGCTAAGAATCTGAGTATGGATGAACATTGCTCTAGTCATGTGCCTTAACTCCTTCCATGATACCGGATACCCTGACACAACTTACAACTTGGTACGTTCTATCCTCGATCGAAGAAAAAGTAGTAGTAGGATATCAACCATCTGTATAAGTCGTTACTAAAGCAACAGTTGCGAGATAAATATAACATGCTTTGAACGAACAGAGGGTGAAAAGATGATTTTCAAGATAGTCACCAACAAGACAAGCTTCGAAGCTTATCTCTGAGGAGGACCCGAACACCAACAGCCTGATGGTGAAATCAAAGGTCCGAGGTCTGCGGTTGCAACAGTATATGACTCGGAAGTAAACCCAGCCGATGCATAAGCCAAGCAGTGTGGTAACAATAGGCTAGAGATTTGACCACTAAGAAGGATACAAGATAACGGTTCACCTCAAAGGTTGTTTATGGTTAATGGAGCATCGTAAAGATCCAGAAGAGTAGACATCATTATGCAAAATATAGTTGGTAGGCAGACCAAACAAGTCAAGAGAAGAGATTTATATGAGAATTACACAACCTGCTCATTGAGTACAACTCTGTGGTAATCCTACAAGAACCACAGATAAGAATTGATGTGCAACTCGACCTTAATCATGTGGCTAAAAGATCAAAGCAGGACTTACGGTATGATCTATGTGAGCTTTGGTGGGCAAAATGGCGTCGAACAACAGCAAAGTTGATGCAACATGATCAGATGCGATATAGCAGCAACGCGTGAAGCAGTTTGATGCACTAAACAAGGTAGAACTTGATGACAACGAAAAGCTATGCGACAACAGCACTGACCTGGCTCGACGGAAGAGAAGGGACCAAGTTGCTGGAGTTTCGAGGAGGAAATGGCAGGGTAGAGGAAGCTGAGTTGAACCTCTGAGAGGGGACACTAAGCTGCTCGTACAGTGCCATCTTGTTCCTCGGAGGCGCCCTCGGACCCCCTTTATCGGGATCATTCACATGGAGCCTCGGAAACAGAGGCCCCATGACCCTGTCGTCATCCTTCTCCCCTTTCATAACACCTGACTCCGCAATCTTATCAAAACAACAAGCTCGAAGAGTGGCTTCCCTAACCCATCTCCGGCTGAGAAACCCTAATGACCTTCTAGAAACAAGAATCACAACCTCGCCACAAGGAAAATTAGTTCAAGATCAGATCTTCCCACGGAAACCCTGGTCAGGACCAGACGCCCCCGACAGTCCAGCAGCTAATCTCGCCCAGAAAAATCCCAACTTTTCGCAAGAACACGTCACGGGAACAGAGCAGGGTACCTCCGGCGGCAATTCCAGCAGAAAGATCCTATCTTTCCCGAAGAACCCGCCAAGAAACCCGATGCGGCACGCAGCAACACCGAACCAGATCACCTGAATAGGACATAATCTTTCGAAAAATCCAATCTTCGGGCGAAAATTGACGAGCCGACAGGCGAAGAAGGCGAAGGGGACGCGGATCAAACGAAGAAACAGGAGACGAGGAAGAGGAGAGGGAGTAGGTTTGGGAAAACAAGGAAAGAATCGGGAAGGGGCAATGGTGGCTCACATAGGGATCCTCATCTTTAGTGGAATCAGTGGTGATGTCGGAAAGGAATTGTGCCACTTGGCATGTCTGGCAAATCATGCTACTTAGCACGGACGACTTCACTCTCCTTGCCAAGGATAAATGATGGTAGCAGAGAGGCATGGGTGCCATTTTATTAAACCATGCTACTTAACATGGAACAACCAAAAAGGCTAAATTATAGATATATCCCTTTAAATAATTGATTTTTCATTTTGAGACCTCTAAATTTAATTTTGACATCATACGATTTTATATTTTAATTTTGATAGAGGAGAGGAGTTATATTAATAAAGTATTAATTCTTAGACTTTCCAACCAATACGATTAGGTGTGATGGGCATCGATGTGCCATGTATAGGTACATTAATTAATACATTTCAAGTTTCAAAAATGCATTCGAAAGAGATTAAAAATTAATAAGTTTTTATGATGGTCTAAAAAAAATCATACCACCTCCTATGGTACCTTCAAAATAATATTCAAGAGATATGAACCTTATCTTAAATAAAAAAACTTATGATTCATCTATAATCATCCAAGATATAATATTTGAAGAATTTAAAATTATTAATTTAAAATCATTCAACATAATAACTCCATAAAACTGAAGATCAACTCAAAAATCATTAATCATCATCTATAAATTCACAAGAGTAAGAACTAATATAATCACAAAATCAATCATTTACCACAAGATCATATCAATATAAAACTTCATACTCGACATAAGTTTTCAAATATAAATCTTTTTAATAGACACATCAATTCGGATTTGCTATAAAAATACACTTTGTTTGTAATGTCATATTTGAGTCTTATATGGAATTGTAGATTGAGTTTCACATATCTATATTTATGCACCTAATTTTTCATTTGTACTCATACCAAACATGATTAAAGGTTATATAAGTAATTAATTAGGTAATATTCACTGGTAGAATAGTATTCTACCAATTGAATGACAAGATGATTGATCATCTTGGATTCAAAAATACACCAAGTATGGGTATAAGCTGGCACACACAAACTTACAAGATCTTGTAGAAATATATATAGCATCATCTGCAAAACTTGGAATGCTGTCAAGAATAAGGACAAGTTTAATATGAAATGAAAGTTCATAGATCTAAGATGCATGTTTGTGGGTCAACAGCCAGACAAAATTGTATGTTCCCATCAAACTCACAAATGCTTAGATTTAACTAGCAAATCAAATATCCAGATCCTGGAACGGACACACACAGAAGCATTAACAGGACAATGTATGAAGCATAAATGTCACAACAAATTAGCAGCTCAGAATGTTCAGATCATAATCATACATCTTTGCTGATCCATACAGCCTCTGACTATAACTTGATACAAGTACACACTAATAAGATTACAAGTTGTTCTTTTGGTCACCCCTTCTGGGAACATGATTTATGAGCAAAATACTCGATGGATGGAACGATCGAGCAAAGTTTCCACACATGACCTGCCATCATTAGGTAAAACCATGAATTAGGCAGGCATCTTTCCGCCAAACTAACTACAATACTTTGTTGCACAAGTCATAAACAAATGGCAGATGTTAATGAAGAACATTTCAACAGAAAAGAAAAATGCAAAGAATATCTGCTTCCTCTTGATCTGACTCATTTCTTTTTGATGCAGGTCAGTGACCTGCATGATGGGACTGCAAACAACCATACCAAACAATATCAATTATTGCCTGAGCAGTCAACTACATTCAAATAACAATGAACAGACAAAAAAAGGGTTGTGCTTTTTAGCTTTTGAACAAATCTGCCACAGAGCAGCAAAAGAAAAGTAACACACTACAGCATTATTAAAGTATCCCAAGCATAGGAATTGAGGTCAGCTTACTTTAGACCAGATGATCTAGTCTTCCATGGTAAGAACATATGTATGAGTCAGCTTGGAAAAGATGCAAACTTTATGAAAACCATGTTACTGTAGGGTTTTCAAAGAGTTCCCAGAGAAGTCTCATTCGGCTGCTGCAGCGATGATTAGCTTGTGCATGAGGCAACGATAATTTTTGCAGGAATCATTAGTTTTACCATACGATGAGTATAGTAAATTCAGTACAACATAGGAAAGAATTAGAATAAAGTTGCAAATTGCATTTTCCTTACAAACTTCAGTCAGCTTCCAATTACCCATCCGTTGCATACCACAAAGAGGAATAATCTTAAACCCCTCTAGTAAAGAAATAAGCCATTTCTCCCATTAATACACACTGACCTCTATCTTTACCTAACTAATGATATCTTCTCCAGTCTTTTACTGTAACCACAAATTTTGCACACCAAAAGTATAAAAAATTAGAAAAAAAAAATGGCATCATATGCTTAGTTATGTGGCAGCAGACCTTTAACAAACGTGAAACTTCATACATAAGAAAAAAGTGAGGGAGAAAAAAGAGAAATTTACCCATTCACATGGAATATTCTAAAACCTACTTGTGTAGACAATTATATATCCAACATGTAACAAAAATTAGTATTAACTCAAAAGAAATTTTCTGTCACTTCAACAGATATTAGCTAAGGACTGAGAGTTTTGTACACACAAAACTAGTTTTTCCATATTGATAGAAACAAGTTGAAAATTTTGTTGCCTACTTGCAGTTATGGACTGATTAATAATTTGCTATTGATGATTTTGCTGCCCCAATTGGGAAAGTCATCTAGTGTGCAGCATGAGTTAATTATCAAAGGTCAACATCTAAATCTTGAGAAATAGAAAAACTGTATTTTCTAAAGGAGTCTTTAACTTTCTCAAAAGATTCCACATTCAGTATGTAAAATAAATATGATTTTGTTCCAGGTTCACTCCAAGAATCCTAAAACCTCTTGATCCATAGGCTGAGAAACAATTTATTTCGGCTCAAGATCAATCTGGAGCTTCAATGAGTTCTGTAATTGTACCAAATTCTTGTTCCCAATTTTTCAGATTAGCAACATTAACATGGACCTTAGCATCTTAAGAATCAAAACAAGATAAAAGGCAATCCCCCATAATAAACATAATTATCAGCAACTAGATCCCAAAGTATCTAAACAATTCAAGCTAAAAGTAGCAATACAAAAGCTTATAATTTAAACAGCCCAGATATATACAAACGAAAAGCACTATTTGACCACCTTCCCAAACAACAAACACTCATGAATATTTATAGAATCCTGTGCAAGCAGGAAACTACAAATATGGGGCAACACAAGAAATTTCGAATCTGATACTAACAACGATAAAGAAGAGGTAAGAATTCAACGATATTATGTATGACAGCAAACTAGATGAGGTTAACAGCCCAAAAGGGAAAGTGTGTCAATCACTAGATCGGATCCGCCAAAACCCACATAAAGTTAGAATCTTTTTCGCAAGAAACGATCTGTAGATCTAACGATTCGAGAACTGGTGTGGAAAGATTCATACCCGATGGGGAAGCGAAGTCCTACCACCAGCCGTAGACCGCCCGGGTGTACTTATCCTTAAACCACCGGAGGCTCCGCCGCAGCGAGCCCTTCACCTTGCCCTCCACGGCGTAGGCCTTGTAGCTGGCGACCCTCCGTTTCCGCTGGAACTCGGGGTCTTTGAAGACCCGCCCGCCCTTGTTGGACGCGGAGGAACCGTGGTCAGGCTTCCCTTTGAAATCGCCGTAGCCGACGCCGCTGCCGTCGTAGGTGTAGAAGTAGGAAGCGCTGTAGCTCCTGTAGTCGTGCAGGACCGGAGGGGCCGGGACCGCCCCCGAGCGCCGGCCTCCGTACACCTCCAGCTGCATCTTCCCGTCGTTGAAGGACCTCGATCTGAAGTCGTCCATGGGATGGGTCTCTCCTTCTCGTCCCTCCTTCCCCCTTCTCTCTCTCTCTCTCTCTCTCTCTCGTTCTCAGAGAACGCAAACGGAACACCAACCGAGGAGCGAAAGAGAGAGAGAAAGAGAGAGAGAGAGAGAGAGACGTATTGGACTTCTTCCCTCTTCTACTGTGGTTGTTATGTTAGCTCTTTCACACCATGTCGTGTACTGCGGTTGAAACGAAAGAAAGCGTTACAAACACTCGATAGAGCGTTATATTACATTATAACGTTTCTATCTCGCCAAACTACCGATATAAGTAAAAAGGTTCGCATATCCGTTACAATGGACACAACGAGTGCGTTGCAGAACCCGTTACAGGTGTTTTCGGCGCGAATCGCCAAATCATGAGGTATCGCGTCTGTCGTCGTCCGTAGGGGCAGGCACGAATCTCAAAGCGCAAAATCAAGTGG